CCTTTCACTTGCCAGGCAAGTGCTTATTCTACTGAGCCATCTTCCCGGCTTTTTTTGAGACAGGTCTTCTTACATAGTTTGGGCTGGCCTTGAACTCATGGCAATCCTTCTGCTTCAGCCTCCTGAGTGCTGAGACCAGAAGTATGCACCACATATGAATCTTATGATATATATTAATTGATTAAAGTTGCTGCTGCTGCTGTACTACTACTACTACTGATGAGATGATGATAAAAAAACACCATCAATGAAGTGTACTGATGGGTACAAGACGACTTCCCACACCTATATCCAATAAAGATCTACTATTCTAATACACAAACATAAATGTACCAAATGCAAGCTAGATTTAAAAAAAAAATCAAAAACCTAAAAGAAACAAAAAAACAGAGAAACAAATAGCACATAAGGTAGGTAGGCAAAAGAATATGAAGAGATATTCAACTCCATTAAAACAAACACGGACAACTTCTTTAAGCTACTGGACTAACAAAATAAAAAATGAGACATTAGTAAGTAGGGGCAGATGTTAGAAAAGGGACACGTTATGCACTGCTGGTGGGAAGAAACCAACGAAGCCATTCTGTAGCACAAGACTGGCAAATTTTAGGAAGGCAGCATCCCGACAGCCTAGTCAACCACGCCGCATCTGTCCATCTCTCTATATGCACCTATTGCCAAACCAAAAACCAAAAACACAGTCTGAGAGTCACAGCACCGTGGTGCTTATTCAGGCAAATTCAGCAAAAGTAAAACATGACCTGACTTTCAAGATACACATATTTCTGAAACATAAATGTAAGATTTCTCCCAAATAATAAATATGGACATTTAGTGTGACGAAGGGTGGGGGGTGTTGGAAAAAATGGATGTTGAAGGAAAGAAAAAAACAAGAGAAAAGCTTTAAATAAAGCTAGGATTATACTGTGTCACAAACTGAAGAATGACAGCCTAAGACTAATAAATCCCACGCATTACTTCCTAATGAATAAGGTAACAAAAATAAAGCGCATCACGCAGTAGTCTGCCAGCAGTGGACACACAACGCAGTACGGAGAAAGGGTGGTCGCCCAGCGGGCTTGTTCTCGGGCCAAGCGCTCTGCTCCCGGGGAAGCGCGGTGCTCCCGGGCGCTACCCGCCGCCCACCCTCCACACACAGAGGAGCTGAGAGAAAGGAGCATCCGCGACCGCTTAGACACAAAGCTCACTGTTTTGGCTCACTTAAAGAAGTAAAGCAATGAATCGGAACACCCCTCTGGGATGAGGCAGAAGGGAGAGCCCTGGGGCGGGAGAGAGAGGTCAGGCGCGGGCCGGCCGGGCGGGTCCGTCGCGAAGCAGACCCTGCACTAAGTAAGTAAAATTAAACAACAAAAAAAATGAGACCCCTGGGTTAACTTTGGTTCAACTCACGGGGTGATTTTGTTTCAAAATGTTTTGTGTCACGCGGGGCTCTCCCGAGACCCCACCAACAAGGCTGGACGCGTTTTCACCGGGGCAAAGTGATCTCCGGGTTCTCGGTACGCCCCGTCGGCGCTCCGCGGCCGCCCCGGGTCGGGGTGGGGGTCGGGGTGGGGGTGGGGGTCGGGGGGCTGTAAACAGGAGAATCTCTATGAGGAGTCTGATCTAGTAGTGAGAGCCTGAACACCCTGTAGACCCTTCTCTGAAAAATACAGAAAAAAAGGGTACGTGCAGAAAATAAAATCTGAAGTTTTTCTTTAGACAAAAAAAGATAAATGAATATTTAGAGTGATTTTTCTTTTTTATAACTTAAGCCTTTTGTCTCAGAAGATAGTGGAGTGATTTTTTTGCCCCTCTTGGAGGGTGGATAGAGGTGTATTTTCAGTAAAGATTTTAATTGTGTAATTTGCTTTTTTTCTTTTTTAAGTAGGATGCTAGATATAATATCTGTATATGCATTTTCATTAAACATTCTTTTCAATCAAACAGATTTAAAGATTCTTGTTTGCGTTAAGTCAGATTTGTCAGCTCTTCAATCAGTTTGTAGTACATTGTAAAAGTATATACTCAAAACAGAGCTAAGCTGTCAAGCTGTGACAACTTTGAATGAGAAAGATTTTTCAAAAATTATGAGTGAGATATTTTAAATGTCTCCTTGACATCCGCAGCACTATTCAAAATACTTCATCAGAGGCATGTGCTTTAGAAATGTACTTGAAAATTAACGTAAGGAGTGCAATTTGTCAGTCTTTGTCTTAGAAAACGCAGCCCTGACAGCCGGGGAGCATTAGCAGTTGAGACGGCACGATTCCCTCCACCCAGGTGCAGCCAGGGCGAGGGAGAGATGGAGTGATCTCTTTACGGGGTGGCGAGGAGGGCCCAGAGCAAAGCAGAAACATAAGAGGCTCCATTCCAAGTCCTGTTGATACCTGTTTGAGCCGGTGGCAAACGCAAAACTCCATTTGTCCTTTGCCTGGAGGATTGTGTGATTTAGTGATTCCCCGCAGGAGCCATTTCATCCTTGCTGTGTGTTGGAGATGCAGCTATTTGTCCTGACCTCAGCTCCTAATGGGGAAGGCCATGGCAAAGAGACAAAGCCCTGGCTATTTATTTTAAATATGTCTCTGAAGGGTTGAAGAAATATCTCAGGCCCAGGGCTGTCCTAAGCCGGTTTCCTCTAAATTCAAGGCAACCTTTCATTCCCTCTCCTGACCCGGGAGAACCCTCCAGGGATACCACTTAATTGGAGAAGAGGCTTCGGGATGGATCATAGTGAGCCAGGGACTTTTATGTTCCATTCCACTGCTTCTTGGTGTCTGGTAAATGCATGGGTTATGTGCTTGTCTGCAACCAAAATTTAAGAAATAAAGGTGGAGAGAAAACTCAGTGCT